GCGGAGGGCCTGGGCGCGGCGGCCCCAAGGAAGCAGCGGTAGTGCGGTTTGTGTCGGTGGCGAGCCGCCGGTTAGAGCCCTAACGCCGCGAGCGCGGGGGGCGGCGCGGCCGGTGCGGCCTTAGGCGGGAGGTGTCCGGCGGAGCCCGCTGCCTTCGGGACGGGCCTGGCTCCTCGGCGCCTCACCAGTGGACTGAGGCCCACGCGTCCGCAGAGTTCCACAAGTCATGAGTCAAACTTTAAGAAGAATCGCCAATTCTTCTCGTTATTATTCTTAAAGTCATTCGTTGAATTTTCCTCCAACCACAACCGAAAGACCCCCAAAACTTACAGTCTGCTTGATAATGGCGCCTCTAAGAAAAGCAGCGACAATAGCAAGTTTTATAATAAAATTGTAAGATTTAATAACAGCTGAAGTATACCAGAATGAACATCATAATATGTAACACCAGGCAGAGCAAATCCTGCTCTTAGGGGCTCCTGACGCTATTTCCTGCTAGAAACTGGGAGCTTAGGAACGGGTGTCAGCAAACGCAGGGAAAGACACGGGCAGACTAGTTCAGCAAAGGGGATAACTGTGACCAGTATTTTTAGATGTAGGCTGGGAGGTAAGAAACTGCAGTGGACTTGCCCTAAGGAAACTTAATATTGTCCAGAAAAAGAATGGTCCTTAAAAATTTGGATAGGTAACATGAGCAATGAAAGAACACTGCACTACAGATAAAGTATGTGCAGTTTGTGTGACAGTAACATGAAAAGTATGAGACCTAAAATTGTATGGATAATTGGTGAGAAAGAAAAAGAATAACATTTAAAATACAGACGTTTTATCCGAAAGAACGCTAACAGGTGATTAGGCTATTAGGGAGGAAATAGCACTAATTTGTTGGTATGTCAAAGGTTTGGGGGCATCTGCAGACAGGAATTTCAAAACAAAGTATGGATTTGTCTGGCAGAGTAGCATCATCTGTAGAACAGAGCTCTTTTATAATCTTTTGGATAATTTGAAATTATCATCTATATAAGGTAGTCTGATACTTTATTGTTGTCTTAACCTATGTGAGATAAACCCATCTGCTTTCTGTTGTTCATTGGCTGTAAGCAAGCTCACTTTCTCACCTTGGTGGAAACAACATTTCTGGTTGTTTTTTAAACACAACATTTCTGTTTTTTTACATTTCCTTTAATTTTTGTGATTTTTATCATACTGCCATTTTCTGATTATCTAAGGTTCTGCTAATACAATGAATGCCAAGAGTTCCTACTTTTGCTTGCAAACCTGCCACTTGTATTTTTGTCCTGAACTGTTACAAAAGTTTTCTTTCTTTCTTTCTTTTTTTTTTTTTTTTAAACTGTTAGCTTGGTAAATGAGCGGTTAAAATTGCGTGATAGGGCTACTCTTGCAGTCTGACATAACCATAACAATCATGAATGTGATAGTAATACGGCTGAGGAAGTATGGGTACAGTTTTGTACAAGACAGGAGAGGCTTCATCTGGGATGCTGTATTCAGCTGAGGTCATCCATGTTTTCAAGAGGTTGGCTTAAAAAAGGCTTATGAGGATGATGTGGGGAATGAAGAATCATTTTTCTTTGAGGAAATTAGAATTCTTTAACCTAACAAAATGAAAACTGGTGGGTATATGTTATTTTCAAATGTATTCTGTTTCTATATATGTAAATATATAGATTGTATATATAATATACAATATAGTATGTATAGAATATAGTACATATATATAGTATAGTGTAAATATTTACTATAAAAAATATATTTTAGTACATGCCAACAAAGAAAGTAATTGACCAGTGTTCAAACATGACATGAATACAGTAAACTGGTCATGAATAAATGTAGACTAAAAATTCAAAAAGGTCACTGTCTGAGCAATCAGCTTGTAGAACAGCTCTTTAACGAGAGAAGTGGGAACAAAATACCTAATGGTTTTTAAGGTACAGCATGATGGGTATCTGGTGGGATTAACATGAGGCAGTGGCTGTGACAGAGAAGGGCAATATATCTGATCATTCAGAACATCCCTTTCACCCAATGTCCCTGTGAAACTGGCAGAAGGAGGCATTCATTTTAAGACCTGTAGATTGGCACAGCTGGCTAAAAACTTAGGAATGTCTTTATTTTTTTACTAGTGTTTAAAATATCTTTCTTCCTAAGCCAGACCATCTTTGACTTCTGTATGAAAAGCATCCTGCTATCTTTGCTCAGAGAGTGGTTGTGTAACTACTCACTCATTTGTTTTAGATTAAGTCAATTTTTCTTTAGTCTGTTTCTCATGGGATAAGGGATTTCACTGTGTGTCTCCGTGAGACATTTAAACTCACACACATAATTTCTAAAAATCTCCTTCATTCAGGTTGTCACAGCTTGAATTCTCCAAGGATACATCCTAGGTCTGATGTTATTTAATATGTTCATTATAACGTGGAAATGAGCGATAACATAGAAAAATCAAAATTTTCTGGTGAGAGAAAATAATTTATGTTAAGACTAAAGAAGACTGCTAGAAACTTCTGAGAGCTCTTGTGCAGTTAGGTGAACTGGTAACACTGACAGATAAAATTCATTGTTGATGGAAGCAATGTAATTTACACTGTTGGGCGTATTTGAAACAATATACTCTTCAGTAGTGAGCCTAATTAATTGTGATCAACTGGGAAAATTACCTTTTTACCATATGTGGATAGCTTAGTGAAAATCTTCACTGAGGAAATTGAGTAAAAATTAATACCCAAAAAGTTATAATGTCACTGGAATAAATCAGTAATGTTCTAGAATTGATTATGGTATTTCAGGTTAGGTTCATCATATCTGAGAAAGATTTAACAGTCACAGAGGGACCCTGAGACAAGAAACATATATGTCTGGAAAAGCTATATGGAAAGAAATAATTAAGGCAGCTTAGAAAGGTGATAAATCAGAATGTACAGGGAGTTATAAAAGCAAGTAGAAAAGATCAAGTCAGGGCATCTTTTAACTAAAGTTGTAATACAAGAACAAGGGGATGTTGTGTTGACTCGAACAACACATGTAAACTGTTTACATATTTTTTAAATCTAAGTAGTAGTTCTTTATACAGTACACTTGACAATTGGACCTGTGCCGTAGCATGTCAGACTAAGAAGGAAGAGTAAAAGGATTGAGCATGTATGTGGACAGTAAAAATAGCTACTATTGTTAGGAAGAACATAAAAACTTCAGGAGATCTAAACCGTTGCACTTTAGGGAAATAAAAAACCTGTAACAGATGGAGGAAATCTGACTTTTGGGATTGGTTTCACGCATTTATCAGAAGCACTTGGCTCTTACCACTCTGGAGGCAAGATACTGATCTGCTATGGAAGACTGTTCCTATTCACTAAAGGAGGGGTTTTTTTTTTGTGCTGAGGCCTCTTAGTTATTCTGTGATTTGGAAAGAATGTTCTTTAATTCCCATTACTTCTTTTTATTAACATTCATACATCATCTTTTACACTGTACAGATTGGAAAATACATTCTGCCTCTACAGCTTAGGACCTTAACACAAGTGAAACGCTCTTGACTTAGTATGCCTCTTACTAGTTGTACCAAGCTGTTCAGCTTCAGAAAACAGCAAAGTATTGTCCTTGGGCAGTATGAAAAAAGGCACTGCTATTAATCAGAGGCTCTACATGAGTCAAAATTTTATTGCAAATCTTGCATGTTTTCACAGCATCAGATTGTGGAGTCACATACTGATAACCTTGGCTTTTGTTAAAAATCTAGGCATCTACTGTTGGGCTTCTGAAAGTAACGTTCAGCTGAATGTTAATATTATATCAGAATGCAAATAAAAAGTGTCAATTATTTGTAATTGCATTATTTTTAAACTCACCTAAATTCCCCATATTTTCTCTCTCATAGTTGTTTCCTCAACCTGGCATTTAACTACAAACTCATTTTGGTTTTAAGGTTTATCTGCAGAGTACTCCACCCTCAGTATTAATTTGAATGATTCTTTTGGTTTGTGTGTGTATAATTTGTGAACACACAGATCATTAAAAAAACATACTTTTTAAATGAACTCTCAGAATGATCAGAGTATATTTAGTCCTTTTCTGCAGTGGGATAAACTTTCTCCAGCTGAATCAAAATAGAAATTATTATCTTGTATCTAGGATGAGATTCTAGTTGTTTGGTTAGTTAACATCTGTTGCACAGTAGCTAATTCTTGACTTAGATCATTTTTTGCCTAATATACACATGGGCACAGATAAAACAAGATTGGAAGGTCTTGACTTAATTGGTCTCTCATATAATGTATTATATTCATACAGCATATTTCTTCAGGAACTGAATATTAAATTGGACCTGGTATTTCTTTTTAACTCTTTTCTCCTATGAAGCCCAGTATTTTGTAATATATTAAATGCTTGCGCTAGCATTACAACACTGGGCAAGGGGAGTCTGTTGATCCATTTGGGAGAAAGAAAGAAGGGAGTTTCAAGATTATTCCACGTTGTTCTCTTAGTTATGACAAAGCTACCTGAGAATGATGAGGAAGATATTTAAGATGTCATACAAAGGACATACTAGTTTATGGGCTCAAGAAAGGGGTGAGATTGTCTGCTAATGCTGATTTTAGTATCTTCCTTTTGATTACATTGGAAGACAGCAGAATTAGAGTGTCCATGCAGAAATCAATTAAAATAATCAATGAAGATGACCAATTTATAGGCAATTTTCATTGTTATCACAGAAAAAATAGTTTTAATTTCTGTGAGACAAGAAGAAACAGCAAGACTTCACTTAAACTAGCTAGACTAACTGAGATTACGTTATTATCATTTAGGAGGCAAAAAGAATCTCACTTGTACATTGTTGTTGGGAAGAACCTGAAAATCATGGCCAGGTTGTAGTAATACAGCTTCAGACTGTCTTAAAGTATGGGACAATTAATTCACAAAGTGAATCATGTGATAAATAACTGGTTAGAAGCTATTCTTAAATCCTTCCCTTTGCACTGCTTTTCCACAGGAGTAACTGCTCTCAGAAGAGACCTTTGAATCCTTGGCTAAAGAGTAAGTTCCACAGCTGACTGTGTGCTCGACTTGTTCTTTGTCTCATGTCTTGCTAACATTCAGTATGTGCAGGGTCTTACATTGTGTCAGTTATTTAAGGTTTTAGAAAACAGAAGATGCAGGTGGAACAAGTGATGTTTTCTAAATGCATTGTCCGACTTAAAAACATGTAATATTATGGTCTTTAAGTGTATGCAACAGGACTCCAATACTACAGGTATACACTCCATACTGTAAAGGAAGTGTTTAAGATATTTCAGTATTTTGAAAACCACCATTTTGAAGAGAAACATTCCCTCATGTTTCAAAGAATGATTTATCAACTCTTTTTTGTTAAAGCTCACTTGCTAGACGTCATCTTGTTTTGGGTTTTTTTGTAAATATAGTGACTAGAAATAAGTGGATATCTCAGATCTGCAATCTAAGAAACTATTCACACGGAGCAGAGAGACTCCTAGAGCAAGACAATAAAATTAATTAAGTACAGGGATCATGGCCATCATTACCTTACGATCTAGTACTTGGAATCTGCCTCTCTGGGCAGACATTTACAACAAATCTTTCAAAAAATATAATTTTTCTTTATTTTTTTTTGACATGGCAGAGATGCCAGTTCATGATATAATAGCCAAGAGGTTAGAAGGTTCCACTTTTGAACTAAAAAGTCTATATTTGTGACCTTCCTCAAAATAATTTTACACTTATGGGCAAAATTTTCTAGTCACAGAGATGTTAACTGGAGATGGGCCTGTTCCTTCAGCCACTTTTAAAAGGACAGGGTGGCTTTGTTTTGTCATATGCCTAGTTCTGCTAATGCTCAGCCTGCTGTGATAGTATCTGCCAAACCTAGACTGGTATGTGGATTCATGTAGAGAAACAGGATAATAAGTTTATCTCACTAACTTTAGGTATCAACATAAACGTCCATACATGAGTTATTAACTCTTGACTGGTTTTGGTCCAAGGAAAAAGTAGTTATTTTTAAGGTGCAATTCAGTTTTAGATACCTTAAGAGCTATTGAAATACGCTGACTAGATCTCCATCAATTATCAGGGAGAGTTACTAACTTAAGTACTGATGCCTATTTTGGTTTAGTGGACACCACTCATAGTTTCTGGGTATTCAACTTTAAGATACTCACCCTGGGGTAGTTCTGGTCCTATGGGAAAGCTGTAGGCCCTAATGAAGTTCTGCTGAGCTTAGGCACCAAGAATAGCCAGAGCTGAGGGAGAGTATTGGGTACTGTAGTTCTGGAGTGAGGATTTATTTAGACATAATGACTATTCTGCTTGATGAGAGAAAACACCTGATGAGACCACTGCACTGAAAGGAGCAGAGTAAAGCAGGCTCATTTGTTTACCACTGAAGGCAATAAATTCCAGGTGAAGGACAGAAAGTAACATAGAATGATAACTTCATAGATTGCTTGCCTATACGTTGGCTACATCTTTTATGTCCAAGTCCTTTATTAGCTCTAGCTCTACATGATTTAAAACAATCAACCCTTTAATCTCAAAAAGCATAGGTGAAAAAAGTATGGTCCTATGATTCTAGAAGCCTACAGAACATGAAGTAGAGAATACTACCTAAATGAGAATCTTCTTTATTTTGTCTTTAAGATTTAATTAATTACACTTCATTACTAGTGAATAGAGGTTTAGCTTTTAAAAGAAAATTTTCAGGTAACATAGACCCACCATCTAATCACATTTTAAAATCTAAATCCTGCCACAAATTTGTTCTGAATTCTAAATGTTTAGAATAGTAAACTGAGAGTCAAAGGTATGCATACTGTAAACCTACTGAGAAAAAGACAGCATGCAGATATCATGGAGAGAAAGGGATTTGAATTTTATGGGTCAGTAGCCTTTCAATACCTGTACACATTGATTGTCTACAATAACTAAAATTCAATGCAGAAGACACATTTTTAATTATCAGTAAGCCAAAGATTTCACGTGCATCATTGCCTCAAGCCAGAGAATGACCACTGAATACAGAGTGCTTTACGGGAACAAAGCTAAAACCAACAGCTGATGGCAGAATGCGTTGAAATCCAGAATACTAACTGCATCAAAGAAACAGACAGAGAGACATAATCCACAATAAATGAATTGTCTCATTCTCTGAGCTTGTTGCTACAGATCGTACTGCTTTTCTAATACTACTAAGGAACCAAATATTTCTGAACGTGTAGAAAAATGTATGTTTCTTGACAATATTCTCAGAAGTTGGAGGTATTTATACAGTGTGAAGAAATATCTACAATTAAAGACTTTAGTTATTCACACTCTTGAAATATGTGTAATTATTTCAATCTCTGAACATTAATTGTACAACATGATAAATACTTCTACATGAATTAACTTTTAAAATTGTTTGGTTTAAACCTAATTAAACTCATTCAGAATTAAAATTGCCTTTTATGACTTTAGCTTAATTTGTATCTGAAATGAATTGAGATGAACTGAATAATTCTAAATAACTGTCTGTATATCCATACCAGGATTTAATACAATTTTAATAATCTAGATTTCCTGAATGTCCTTGTAAATCTGATTCTTGTATGTGTGCATGATGCTTACTTTCTGCAGTGATTGCATAAATCAGAAGGTAGCGTGTCCATCATTTTTTTTAATATATTGTCAGTAATTTGTCCTTATGCTTTCTCTTATATGAGTTAATTCCTCCCTAGCCAAAGCTGCATTTCCTGAAGCACTGAATTCTAGTGTGTCTGTATGTATTCACAGAGGTGTGTATATATATATATATATATATATATATATGGACAAGGGTAAAGAGATCGGAGCTGAAGAATCTTTGATTGTATGGGTCTTCCTCTCAAAGCTACAATTAGTGACCTGCCTATGAAGTTTTAAATTTCAGATCCATTTTTAGGATGTACTTATCAACTGGTTTCACTACTGCTGTGTTACAGTTTGAGAGGCCAGTAGAGGAACAATACCTGTAAAAATTCAGAGGATTCAAGAAGAGCTCCAATTTTTTGTTGAACACAACTGATAACCCCAAATTCTGTAATAAGCCAGGCTACAGCTCATATTGCACTAGAAAATAATCTCTTATACCACAGAGCGATTGTCAGGATAGTCCTGGCTGAGGGTGAATGTGTAGTTTCCCTTTGAGAACTAACTGAGGAGTTACTAATGGGTAATAACAGTGCACATTTCACTTTTACACAGTGTTAAAACAAACCTAAGTTTGGCATAACTTGTGTTATGTTCTATGCATAGCTAGTGCTAGTGGGTCATGTTGCTCTTTACTTTTGCCTGTAGCTTAACTGGAAGGCTGTGCTGAAGTTTTGCAAGCCGCATGAAATTAGGTCCACATGAGGTATTACATCCATATGCTTCAGAAGCTACTATTAGATGCAGCTGAGAAGGTCCTCCTGGTTCACATACACATGTGCTAATACAGACAAAGCAAAAGGCAGAAGCTGGACTTGGTGTAAATAGATGTAACCTTTTTGTAATCAGTGAATTGTATTTTTTAATCAGTGATTTGTATTGTGCAGAACTGCTTCTTAATACTTGCAGACCTGATTTTTTGTCTTCTGTGAAATATGAACAGAGAATTCAAAGTGAATTCAAACCTCATTTTCAAGGTAGAACTTATTTGTACATTTTGCAGTTGTATAGAATGTTTGCCAACATAGAATGTATAAACAAACAAGGGGAATCTAATAGGACCTTCAAGTTCACATATGATTTATAGATGCAGATAGAACTAACACAGAAAATCATGTCCTATGTATTTGTACCACATTACAACTTGAGCCTGTGATGTCTCAGATCTTTTTTTTTAATTATGTATTTTGTTGACAGATGTATTTACCAAATGTATTCAAGTGTTAGAAAGTTTGCATTGTTTATAAGGGACAACTTTCTGCGTAGAAATCTTCAAACTGATTAGGTGGGTCAAATAAATGAGAAAGTCTGTCTTACAAGCTTTCCTAAATCACTGGTAAACTGATTCCTGAAACACAGAAGGGAGTTTGTTTGTCTGCTTTTATTTTTTGTTTTTGTTTTTAGAATGGGTAAAAAAGTAAAGAAGAAAGTAGAGCCTCCACCCAAGGATGTGGTAAGTTTATAAACTGCTATGTGCTATAAAATAAACGTTACAGTTATAGGCCCAGTTCTGCCATCCTTACATAGTTCCTTACTCTCTTAGCTTACCCACATTATTCTAAAAATGTCTTTCAAAGATGATTCTGTTTCTGCTTTTCTTGGACAGCATACAAACCAGAGTAACTAGGCATGTGTAGTTCTTTGTGGAGATTGTTGTCTTTGGCAGGCTTTGCAAACAGTAATGTATGAAACAATCCAGGCTTCTTTTTATTTGAAGAACAGTATTAGCTTTCCATTTGTAAAAATCAAAGAAGGGAGAGGAGCAACCTGAAATCTGTCTGTCTTTTCAACTGTGGAGGCATCCCCTTTCTTTAAGGATGAAAGAGTTAAGAGCCTAGATGGATCAGCAAAGGTTTTTAATACAAAATCTTACAGATATTTGGAATGACAGTACTATGTATTCTGGATCTATACAGTCTTCAGCAGCAGTTCAGGTTTTTCTGGTATCATTGGAAGTGCCACAGTGAGAAGTAGTAGCGCTGAAGACAAATATGGAATAATGGTGGTAATGTGACTTTTTTTCAAAAGCGTCTGACACTATTACGCTTTTAGAGAGTTTCTCTAAATTGACAATGTAGAAGGAGACCCCCCAAAACACAGAGGTTCAAAATAAAGGTATTTTTTAAGTTTAATTTGTTTATTCAGAAATAAGTACAGGAAATAAGACAGAAACATTGAAAAGAGTGTAATATAAATCCTGTGCCAGATAATAACTAAGTTAATGAAAATCAGGGCCTCAGTGAGTCCCACAGAGGAGCATGAAACTAAATGCAAAGTTCAATACACTGTTTTAAAAAAACAATAGGTTTGTCTGTAGAGTAATGGTACTGCAAGAGCTTTTTCAAAGGTCATTGAAAAGTTTATCAGCAAAAATTATGTCACCATTTCAATATTAAATAAGCATAAATAATTTTGTGTAAGACGGTAATATCCAATAGCCATGATGTCACTGAGGTATAGCAATTGATGTCAGGTTTTGCCCAACTGTTCTGTGGAAAGATGAATATTACAAACATAATTCATAAGCTCCAATCAATAGTAAATCCTTATGAAAGAAGACTTGACATAAAACTTCAACATGAGAGGTTAAATTGACCTAAAGCCATTTCTGTATGGAATAACCTAGGAAATCAGGAGGAGACACAAAGAAGGTAATGTGGATAGGACTAATTAAAAGTCTAAGAAAAAAAAATTGAAAGGCATGACAGTAGATTTAAGGCATACAGATGAGCTAACTCCCTCCAGAGTAATAAAAGCTTACTTTTTCAGAAAATATCTAGAAAGTAGAAGCAGCACCACAATTTCTAGATCCAAAAGACACCATAAATGTTTCTGGAGAAAAGTATGGTACAGCCTACTAACTATTACAATAAACTGTGAATAATGTTAGAAAATGTATTTAAAAATTGAAAAAAAAAATTACAGAAAAGGTCAGTAAAACTATTAAAAAGGAAAGAGTTGGTAAGAGTGAATTCCTGATGGCATCTGCAGTTTTTGGCTTAGTTGTTACCCTATTGTACTTCAGGCTAGCATGTCTCTTCTAACAGTCCTATCAGGAGAAAAAAAAAAAAAAGGATGTTGCGTAACAAAACAGTATTAAACATTAAAATATATCATTGATTAGGTGTAACTATCAACGAGAAAATCTTCTAGCTATGAGAATATTGTTACTAATGATCATGTAAAATCAAATCTCAAAACTAAATTTCACCTGGATATTTCAGATGGCAGGAAACGAGATGCAGACAAAATAAAAGATGTATTAGCTATTATCTTCTGATTGATAATCTGCTTATAAAAATGTCAAGTCCAAGAAAAGAAGCCTTAAGATAATGTGGACAGGCTTATAAAAGAGAGCCTTTGTGCTTGTGGAATGCTCTGGGAATATATGGTACTGCAGATGACCACTAATTTTTATAGTTTTCTAGGAACAGGTGGGAAACACATCTCCTAGCATATCCACTGCTTATATGTTTAAGAAAGTATTCCAGAGGACTCTATTTTACCTGCCTTTCATAATTTGTCTTTTACTATTATCTGTTATAAGAATCGGGCTTCTCCAGGAAAAATACTGCTTTGAGCCTCTATCTCTATATGGATGACCTTAGACAGTAATTCAGGCAGATAAAATATGTTAACTTTGACATAGATTGATAGGAACTTTTCATATAATACCTTCATTAAGTTTGGTCTGGACATTACTAGTTGATCATCAGCTAGGGCATAGACATTAAAAGGGAAGCCTAAGATTACCACTAGGTAAAATACTGAAGCATTATCACTGAAAGAAAACTATAGCTACCTGAATATTTTTGATAATGGCTTAATTCACAACAGTAATGTTAAAAAGGGGAATATGTGAAGTGGCACTGTCAACTCCTGAAATTCAGTCTCCACAGAAACACCTTTTCAGCAATTAATGCCTAAATATTTGACTTGTTTTTAGTAAGGCTTTCAACACTGTCTCTCATAACATCCTCATAGACAAACTGATGAAATACAGACAAGATAAATAGACAGTGTAAATGAATTGTAAACTAGCTGAACTGCCAGACTTAGAGGGTTGTGGTCAGCAGCATGAGGTCCAGCTGGAGGTCAGGCTCTAGTGTTGTGCCCCAGGGGTTGATCCCAGGGCCAGTACGGTTTAACCTCTTCATTAGTGACCTGAATGATGGGACAGAGTGCACCCTCAGCAAGTTTGCAGATGATACAAAATTGAGAGGAGTGATTGACAGACCAGATGGTTGTGCAGCCATTCAGAGGGACTTCAGCAAACTAGAAAAAAGGGAAAATGGGAATTTCATTAAGTTCAATAAAGGGAAATGCCAAATCCTGTACGTGGGGGAAGAAAAACTGATACAGACTGGGTGATGACCAGCTGGAAAGCAGCTTTACAGGAAGGGACCTGGAGATTCTGGTGGACGTGCACCAGCAATGTGCACTTGGGGTAAAGAAACCTAACAAAATCCTGGGGTGCATTAGGCAGTGTTTTGCCAGCAACTGGAGAGAGGGGACTATTGTCTTCCACTCAGTGATGGTGAGTGAGACCACACCTGGAGTTCTGGGTTCCCCAGTACAGGAGAGACATGGACTTACTGAAACAAGGCTGCCAAAGGCTTGGAGCATTTGTCATATGAGGAGAGACTGGGTTGGGTCTGTTCGGTCTTGAGCAAAGCTTGGAGGGGTCTTATCATTGTGTAGAAATACCTGCTAGAAGGGAGTAAAGAAGTCAGGCCAGGGTCTTCTCAGTAGTGCTCAGTGAAAGGATGGGAGGCAGTGGGCAAAAACTGAAACCCAGGTGGTTTCATTTAAACATAAGAAAAAAAAAAATCCTCTTTTACTGTAAGAATGGTGGAACATGACACAGCTTACCCAGAGAGGTTATGGAGTGTCCATCCTTGGAGATACTCAAGATCAGACTGTGCACCAGCCCTGTGCTATAGCTGATCCTTCTCTGGACAGGGCAGTTGGACCAGATCACCTCCAGAAGTGCCTTCAAACATCATCTGTGATTCAGTGGAGTATCTTGGGTTTATATTGTTAGTATAGAAGATCAGACAATGACAGAACTGAAACAGTTATCATGACCAGATATATATTAACTGTTATTCTAGGTAAAGGAAAAGGGGTTAAGAATATCAAATATATTAGTAATGCTTCTAAAGAGTCTACAGAAGGTGCAAGGATAAAGCAGACTTGTAGTCAATTAATTCAAATTTAAAGGATTTTTTTTTTTTAAATAACAGCATGATTAAACAATACAATGATAGCAGATAAATACATCCTTCAAAAGGTGGGATTTGTATCTAAATGGGAAAACAAGAAAAACCTTGCACTCACAAATGAGAAGGAAAAGCACAGTGTCACAACACACCAAAATATCTGGGGAGAGAGCTAGAAAGCTATCAATAAAGCTTTTCCAAAATGACTAGAAGCAAGAAGCTTCTTAGAGGAACACTATAAGGTGATTAAAGTCATAAAAGAAAAGCAAAATTACTTCTTTTTGTATCAAAAGACAAAGCTATATAGCAAATTGCTAAAACAAATGTGAATAAATTGTCCAAATATGAACAAATAGCATTTGCCCAGGTCTTGTCCAACTGAAAAAGAACTAAAACCTGAAATTGTGTTACTATTACTTATGGTATTTGATGTGTACCCTTTGTACTAGAGGAATGGAGGGTAGAAAATTTCCTTTTCAAAAAGAAATACATCAGTAATTACAGAAAGATTGTCCTACATGCTGTGGAAGAAAAAAGAAAAAAAAGAAAAGGTTCATGGATAAATAAGAATGTGGTAAATCAATACTGTTTGTGTAGAGGAAAGTGCAGTCTCTGAAATATTTTTTAATTTTTTCAAGGAGTGAGTGAGCCAGTGGATAATGGTGATCTGGTTGATACAGTTATTAGAGTTATTATTATCAGAAGTTTTTAGATCAGGCTCTTCACTCATATAAACACCAACAGGAAAAAGAAATTCCATTCCTGGCAATAATGTCTGGTTATAAAATAGAAAGCAAAGGTGAGAAAATAAATTACTGTTCAGTTGTCATAATGAAGAGAGGTTGCCAGTGGAATGTCGGGTTTTATTCTGCAACCTGTGTCATCCAGTTTATCAGAGTTAATGCAGATACTTTCGTAAAAATGGCAGCCAGTTACTAAGTAGGCAAAAGTGAATAAATACATTTCAAATTCCAGAAATAAAAGGCAAAACACCCCATGTCACTAGCAAATGCATTATACATGCACAAGTTGAATGCCATTAACAGTTCTGGTGTTTCCATCTCAAAAAAAGTACAGTTGAACTACAGAAAGATAAGACAGTGTGGCTTTCGTATTAGGAAGGATCAAAGAGAGTAGGTTTCTTCATTCCTGAAAGGAAATGATTGTGAAGAGGAATACCATAGAAACTTACAAAAGGATGAATATGCAGAGAAGGCAAATGGGTGTAATTTATTCCTCTGTTTCTTATGGTGAATGAACTGTGGAGGACAAATAAAATTATCAGGTTCTAGTTCTAAAACAAAGAAAAGGCACAGCTATATATATGGCTGTTAAACTGTGATACTTGTGTCTGAGAATATTAAGGGTGGCTAAAATACAGATGGTTTCAAAAATTATTTACCAAATTAACTGGTGGAAAATTTTTCTTAGACTTTTTGAGCACAAATATAAAATCACTAGATCACCAGTTCTCTCGGTGGCAGAGTGCTGGAGTATGGGAGGGAATATAAGCAAAGTTTAATAGTCTGCTTGCCCACACCTTTTAGAGGCCTTTGTCGAGGAGAGGATGCTGGGCTAGGTGGGTCTTTGGTCTGACTGGAAACATATTTTGTATCACCTTCATTTTCAACTAAGTTAAGTTGATGGAAGTGAAAAAAACCCCGCAAATACTCTGCAATTTCTTATGGCTTTGAAATCAAACGTACACAAAAATAATGATCAAAGTTATCTAGAAGTTTTTTAGTTACAGCTTCTTTTTCATTTAACTTGGTTTTTCTTAATATTATTCTAGCACACAATCTGTCCTGTGTGTGCCGTTAAGGGAAAAGTCTGCGATGATGTATGAAGATTTAGGAGCAAGATTTGAATTTTTTTTTTTTTTTTTTTTTTTTTTTTTTTTTTAACTATGCTGGCATTATGATAAGCAAAAGTCCCTTCCAGGTTTTCAGCACAAAACTACTTCTGCTAGGAAAGTGCCTATTGAATATTTCAGACAGTAGTGGTGATATAGTATGTAGTAAAGTCTATACAATTGGGCAGAGATTAGACCAATTTCATTCTGGTCATGTGCCAATCTGTCATTAAATCCTAGGAATTACCATTGAATTGTAATTTATATGATTACTTGTGAACATGAGAGGCAATGAAAATGAAGCAACATAGTAGCATCTTTGGTATCAACTCAATGTAAATAAATAACTGAGATTTAAGTCTTATTTCATAATTCATTTCTTACTAAACTTCATCTGAGATCAATCTTAGTGTTTATTTTTCTCTGGAGGAATAACAGCCTCTACTAAAAATTACAATTTTATCCCATCGCCAAGTATTTGGCCAGACTCAGGAGTTATGTCTGTGTTTAAATCATAGCACTCACCTGAAGGATCAAGTTCTGTCCACACAAGAACACAAATGTGCAGGAGTATGGAAGTATGAAGGTAGCTAAAGGAACTTTCAGTCATCTCTTAATTCTCTATATGCCTCTCATAGGGGTAGAATGAGTGAATGTAGCTGTGATAAACAGAACTTGTTGCCTCCTTACAATCCAAAAAGAAAATTTCCATTAAACAATTCCATTATTTTAGGCCTATCATTAAGATGTAACTTGGACCACTGTGCCACTATTTGGTTTAATTTTTGTTGCTGAGTCATTATTAAGCAAAATTACTTATTGTACAGTAAGCTGATTATATTTTCTTTAACAAGGAACTTTGTTCCATGACTTGTCCTCTGCCTCTAGCTTATCTCAACATGAAGTTGGACATGTCTTCAGGTTTTCAGACCTGCTTGAAGCTAGGGAGACCAGTTAATCACATTAGCCTGGTCACCTCTTAACTGTTAATGAAACTTGGATTGTGATCTTGCAGACTGTTAAATGTGTGATATGCCTCATGGAAGATGATGAAATTGCTTAGGTTTAAAAACCTTAAAATTTAGAAGTCTGGGTACTAGTATCATATTCTGCCTGATTTTTGAACAAGTCAGAGGAAGGAGAAGAAAAAAGACTCCTCTTTGTTCATTTTCCTTCTGGCACACTCATAACTTTTTTGATTTGCTCCAAATAATTTCCTTGCTTGACAGCTGACTTGTATGTATCTTCATGCCTTTATTGTTCAGCAACATGTGCCTCTGATATAGCTGTTAGAGGGTTTTATATGAAGTAAACCAAATAATAGACATTTAAATATCTATGGTATAAGTATACATTGTAATAATATTTTAAAATAATCTGTATTGCTATTTTAAATGATTAATCTCCTGTGTTTTAAAAATAAGTACATTAATATTGAGGGTCTGCATGACTCCAGTATGCAACACAGATACTCTATGGGCCTAAAGTGTGAGGATAGACCACAGGTTTTCCAGATCAAAAAATTATATTAAATCCAAATAAGCATAAACTTTTTAGTGGTAGAATTTTCAGAAATTGTTAAAGAACAAAAGGCTTTTTTTTGAAGATTCCTTTGCTTAAGTGATGTTAGTCCTAAAGAGTCTATTAAGAGGGTGAAAATTGCCAGATTTGTTGGAAGATTTATTTCTGTATGAGAGAGGTCAGAAACAGAAATGAACACTTTGTATCATTTCTAGCTGGATGAGCAGGGATTGTATCATGGAAATACTTCAGCTGGTACAAGATTGTAGTGAGCTAGTGAACTGAGTTGACAAAGGCACAGGAAGGGTCCTTTTTTTTAAAGCAACCACAAAGTGTTAATGCCACAGAGTAACCAAATCCTCTTCCTCACACAACACCTAAGTTCATAGGCTCTGTGCACAGCTGCTCAAAAGAAACAACTTCTCCTGTTTGTTTCCAAAGCTGCAGGATGCTCTTTGTGTAACAGAATTACATAGTTTGTTGCCTTCAAGACTTCCTAGATGTACAGGGAAAGTGTCATGGTTTCCCCAAAATCTTCATACAGGATGAAATCATACTTATATTTGGAAGTCAATTATTCTTTCTTATTTTTTGACAATGTCTCAAATTGTTATTAAAAAAAATTAATTTCTCCAAGTAAATAGCAACTCATGTTGATATTTCAAATTCAGTGTAGATCTTAAACTAGAGTATTTTTTTTTTAAATGAAATGTGGGAGTCTACTACAGCACATGGGAAGGCCAGTATAATTCAAACTGTTCTTTCCTTTTTTTTGGTTTGTAGTTTGATCCTTTATTGATTGAAAGCAAAACAGCAGCAACGGTTGTGCTAATGCTTAGTTCTCCTGAAGAGGAAGTTTTGGCCAAAGCTTGTGATGCTCTGTATAAATTTGCATCAAAAGGTTAGTCTTTTTGGAATGAGCTTTCCTTTGAATTCTTTAGATTTTGATAGTAGTACAAAATTTTTTAGTTTCCTAGCATTGAAATCTTCATTTTGTCTCAAAGGTCTCTGTCAGGGTTTTGGGGGTTTTCTGAAATATTTATCAAACCTGTATTTGCAGTTATAAAGAAGTCCTGTGGTTTCTGTGAAGGAAAATTTTATCATTTTGTTATAAAATTTTGCATTCTCTGTTGAATAGAGCTTGGTTTAAATATAACATAGATCTGTTTTGTTATGAGAAACAGATCTGCATCTGGGAAAGTATTTTATATGTTACAGTTTGAAACTTCTGTACCAATGTAGTTACTTCAAGATTCAGTTTTCAATGAAAATTACTTTTTTAGCCTGTTTCTGTTATTTTTGCATATAGCTCTTGTGTCAGTACTTCTGTGACAGATGATTTATTGGAGACTGCTCAGCCTCTGTTATCAAGCTTATTTCTGTATGTGTTGGGAATCTTAACAACTCTCCAAGATTCCAATTCTTCCAAAGTCCCTGTATTCTCTATAGCTAAGAGTCATGTTCCAGGTACCCAGAAGACAACTGTATAATGAAGGCTCAAAATTATGTAGCATGTAGTTTCCTAAGTTCCTCCTACTCACTCCATGCCAGTCACTCAAATTGGTATACACTGATAGCATGCTTGGTATAATTATTCCATTTTAATATTAATTTCCATTTAATTTATGTTTTCTTTCAAATTTATGGTTTTATATGCTGATTGTTGTACTGATGGCAATTATCAACACTGCTGAAATTGTGAGAGAGGAGCTCAAGGCTTTGACAGTTGGCTAGGGATCACTGGATTCTGAAAGATGTTTGGGTTTGGCTTAATATTGCAAGCCTGGTTGAGGGCATGCAACCAAATTTTGAATATGTGAGGAGAAAATTTGGACTTTTGGGAGACAGCTGTGAACCGCACACCATAAACTCTTGCTGGCTCCTTCCCTGCTGCCCACAGTCAAATAAGACACACTACAAGAGGACAGATATTTAATTTTTCTGTTTCTACTAAATGAATAATACTTTAAATAGTTTATGTGGGTATTTCTGCAGTCTTCCAGAAGACTAGACTGTAACTTTGCAGTATGGCACAAGACAAGGAGTTGTTTTCGCTTTGCAGTTAATTTATTTCTTGAATGTTGCTAGTAAATTAAGTCCCATCTATCAGTAAAAACTAGTTCTTGTATTTTAATTGTGTTTTGGCCTGCGAATGAGCATAGTTCTCCAGTTTCTTCTCACATTGCTCATTTGTAGCCAGAAAGGACAGACATGGCTCATTAGATAATTAATTATAAAGCTCTTGTGGGAACTGAGAATAGGAGTAGGTTTTGGATTTTGTTTCTTGAGGTTTGGGTGGTTTTTGAGTGAGCAAGAACAGAAGGCTGTAATCATACAAAACACTTCTGCTCTTTGCATGGCCAGAGCTTATTCAGCTACAAAGTGCTCCATTCTCAGGTGGTAGAAATCTCAGGTGGGATTTAATGATCCAGATCCTAGTAGCTGCTTCATTTGAGGGGTAGTACAGATCTACAGAATGAATTAACTGTTATTTCAAAGAAAATAAAATTGGGAGGCAAGAAAACAGCAAAATAAAATGAGGTTCTTAATTATATCATTCACCTGTATTTCACTAAATAGAAAGCTGTGCTTTGTACTACCACTGCAGTCTCCTACAAATGAGCTGGGTGTCCAATAGACAGAAGCATCCTTTGATTCACAAATGTGAATTAATCCTAGATATTGTTAATCCTCAATACTATTTGACACATGTTTATTTGGGGTATAGATTAGACGATCTGCTAAGGTCCTGTCCAGGCCTTTGTTCTTTGATTCTATGGTCCAGTAAAAGATTGGTAGCTGTTTTGCTTTGTTACATTAGAACTGTGAGCTTGTTGCATTTTCATAGAACTTTTAACCTAATTACTCTTCAGGTGATGAAAACAAAGTGACACTTCTTGGTCTTGGAGCAGTGGAACATCTGTATAAACTCATCTCACATGAAGATCCAATTGTACGCAGGAATGCCATCATGGTATTTGGCATCATGGCTTCTAATCGTAAGAATCTCCATTGTTTAAAATACTTTTCAATGTGTATGAGTGTGGTCATCAAAGCAATAGGTGGCTCTTGTGAACAAATCCCATATTAGCATCCCAGAGTAAAGGAATAAATTCATCTAGAGTGAACTCTACTGATTCTGAAAAAAAATTACAAGATAAGTTAATTTTCCTCCAGCCCTTGTTTTTATTTTGACATGGCCAAATTGAAAGAGTTTAATGCTGAAGTTATGTCTCTCAGAGAAAGCCTGACTACATAAAAAGACTGCTAGTGTGGACATGACACACTCTTCTCTTACAAAAGTTGAAACAGGGGGATGAAGTAATATTTATCATCTACAGAAAATGCTATGGTTAAATAACAGTTGTTACTTCAGCCATTAGTGTAACTACAGTGGTAAGGGAGAAAATGTATTAAATATAAAGTAGCAAATTTAAGTGTTGATGGCATAAAAAGCCCTGAACTATGAAGTGTCGGCATGCATATTTACCCAGCTTTTTTGGCAAGTCAGTGCTGCTTTAAATGTTTTGTTATCTGTATCTGAACTAGTGAAATTCAAGTAGTCTTGAATATCTCTTGGAGACATTGCATTCCTGTCAGTGTAGCGTATGTACTGTAGCCATGCCATTATTAAATGATTTAACCACAGTATATGCAGATTTTCTTGTACCTTTTTATAAGATGAGGGTGGATGTATGATGTCCATACTAGATGGCTGAGTGACAGATGATCAAGCTGCAGTGGGTGGTAGTAGACATACCTGAAGATGAAAGAATAAATAAAGTAAGGTTGAGTTTCAGTGGCTGTTATTTTTACATTGCTTTATAAACCTACATCTAATCAATATGATTAACAGATCTTATTTTGGTAGATGTTCTACCCAATTGTCTTTTATCCTAACCATTGTTTGTAAGACCTTGTAACCAAGTAGTTTCATCAGCTGCTACCTGCTTTTTATGTTGCTCTGGACCTTATGTTCTTTACCTTACTTTCAGCTCGGCACTAGCATATAGTTACTCCCTTCAGACCTTGGCTTCTACTGCTGCTGCACAAATGTGGATCTGAATGACTGAAGATCTTCTATTTATATTCACATTTTAATTGTTTTTTTCTTTAAAAGTAAATTTAACTCTTTTTTTTTTTTTCTTACATTTCGACACTGTAATGTGTTGATAGTAACAACATAGCCCTGTAAGATCATATAAAGTATGTCCCAAAGAGTGTTTTCTGGGTATCCCATCCAGTGGTTGTGGTTTTGCTAGTTTGCCATTGACAACAATAAAAATGCATTCTGAAAGTCTTTGCTGAGATTTTAATAAGACCTATATAATTCATGTTTTCAGTTTGCAGTGTGGGCTGTGTTAACATAAAATTAGAAAGTGATGGCTTGAAAATGAAATAACAGAAGGATTGCCTTTAGTCTTTTAATTTTAACCATAAATAATTCTAACTATTGGGGTATGATGACTTTGACAACTAAGACCATGTGATATTTAACCAGAACCTGCTAGATGCAGGTATTCTGAATAAAATTTCAATGAAGTATTGAGGAACTTCATATAAATCAAATGTCAATGAATGTCATCCGGTACTTGAAAATCTCCTCTGTGTTTTCTGGGCCCATTATGATCTTGATATAACTTTAGTTGTGTGTCATTCCCAGTCAGATCTTTTTGTCACTCAGGAAGTAACCATAAGTACATTTCCCTTAGAGCAGAATCTGTTTCTTTACTCAGCCAAGATTGCCAAATGAAAGACTTCATATTCATATTTATTTCATTGTAGATGATGTCAGGAAGTTACTGAGGGAACTGGATGTCACAAATTCACTTATTTCACAGCTGACGCCAGAAGGTGCAGTATTCATTCCTTGTGCAAAAATACACTCAAATAATTTGTGATTGCCATTTTATTGGACAATTTATTAAAAACTTCCTTGTAACTTATGATTTGTCTTACTACATGTTAAATAGGCAATTGCTTTTATAGCAGTAGCTCTGTTACTCACTGAGTAGTGGTTTATGTTGTACAGATGGAGTAACATGTTTATGGGGATGTCAGGTATGATTAACAGCTATTGTTTATTGACTTCAAATAATATTCTAAACTGCTGAATTAGTGAATGTAAACTGTGCTGAATAAAACTTGATCAGAATATTTCTTTTTTTTCCCCATAGAAGATGTAGTTATCCATGAATTTGCTACTCTCTGTCTAGCACATATGGCTGTTGAATATACTAGTAAAGTACAAATATTTGAGCAAGGTGGATTAGAACCACTTATCAGACTGCTAGGTAGCCCTGATCCTGATGTTAAGAAGAATTCAGTTGAATGTATCTACCTCCTGGTGCAGGTAAATTTATTGTTGTTTTAAATTATAGAGGCAGATAAGCACTTCCCCCTCACCCCTGATATCCTCTGTGGGGTTAATTATTTTAAAATATTTGGTTCCTTTACTCTCCAGTGTTCATGAAAGTATTTGAAAACATGACACCTGATACCTTGATTGTTTCGTTAGTTACAAATATGGCTGATTTGACTCTAATTGTTGAACTTAATGCAGTTATCCATGCTGTACAGCAATGTGAGATCAGAATCAGATTCAGATTTTTTAAATTAAATATTAATTTGTTTTCTTAGTTGGCAAATGTTAAACTCTGTAATGAGAGTTATAACCTGTCTATCCACAAGGTTGGAATAATCCTGTAAATTAAAGAACTAGCAATTACATTGTGCCTTGTTTTGGCCAGAAGTCCTTAGTCACAATTTTGAACATTTTTTAATGATAGGTGAATGCTGTCAACAGCTACTTTTCATACTGGGAGGAATAGATTTGTTATTGGCTACTTTGACACTCGGCACTAATGTCATCCATATGCTGCTTAGCAAAAGAATGGTGCATTTGTATGGCAGTTCTCTTCCATGGCTTAAGCGAATCAATTCAATAATGAATTCAGTTTATAACTCTATCTCTTTTGGGGCATCAGAGCATGTCTATTCAAAATCACATTTTACTCTTTCTCCTTTTTTACTATCTCGCTGTCTTTGTTGCAGGGTATATCTGGATAACTGCACCTGGTGCTTGCTTATATTGATAAGGGTAATTGCATGCTGCACATGTGCAATAAGCTATTTAAAAGCAAATTGTAATTTATTTATTTTTTTCCATTTTAATATAATCTACTACTGTTTGTTTATTAAGCTGCATATACACTGTTTAAAGTTCATTTTTAAATTGTCATTTTATAATTACTAAAACAAAAGAAGATATAACTAAGCAATCACAGTAGAGCACAAAAACTATTTTCCTCTCACTGAGGTAAATAAAAATGATGAAACTAAATTTAAAAAACTTTCTCAAAGAAACATGTATGTTGAGGTAACCATGACAAAACCAAGAGTAAGTATGCTTCCTTAGGCAGGACTAGTTTCCATAGTGTGTACTTCAGTCATGCAAAAACAAATGGACTTTAAGGTTAGTGGAGCTTGATTATATTCATTTTGATTCTTGGCTGAAAAGAAAAAAATCTTCAAAACTGGAAGTTCTAGAATATTGACTCTTTTGTGTTTGTGTTTGAAATCAGGTTTTTGGTGTTCTTTCTGTGAAGTCAGGAATTGATGTACTGTTATATTCTCTATCACTAACATTCTTTGTTGAATATTTTACTGCAGGATTTTCAAAGCCGTGCTGCAGTTCGTGCACTGAATGTAATTTCACCCTTGCTGGAACTACTGAAATCTGAATACCCAGTTATTCAGTTGTTAGCCCTTAAAACCTTAGAAGTAATTAGCAAAGACAGAGAAACCAGGATAATACTGGGAGAAAGTAAAGGATTAGATTGTCTTCTGAAGATACTGGAAACCAATGTACAGTTTACTTGCCTTCAAAGATTTTTGTTCTTGCTGCTAATGTTTGTATGACTAATAACAAATATTATTCATATTGTGGAATAGTGATAAAAGAAGAAAGAGCTCCTTACTTGGAGCTAACTATGATATAAATAGGATAAGCTAGGATACCTAGTTTACTAAGAAAGGGAGCAAAGGGATTGACAAAAATGTTTATATTTGTTTTATTGCTGTATTTCTATTAGTAATATTGTTCTGCATTTACTGTCCATTTCTCAAATTATGGTAAATATCAGTGAAATTCACCCTATAGCATTTTATACAATGTTTTCTTAGAGTATTTTATTATGTGCTGAACTCTGGTGCTGATCCCTAGTTTGAACACTGATATTTTTTTCTGAATTTACTTTGATATCAATGGCCTTAAATATAATTTCCTACCTTGGAAATTTCATCTTTTATGTTATTATGAGACTTATTTTAGTGCTTCTTGAGTTCAGATGATACCATGAGAAATACAATGCATAGAGAAATTTGTGAAGTTTTTGAAATTTTAAGATGACAGGTCCTTTCTGAATGCCTGCTTAACTCACTTTGATGTAAAAGATAAACTTTTTGGGGTTTTACTGGTTTTGATAAAGCACATCAGAGAAAGTATACGAAAATATGAGTATGAAAATATGTACTTTGCAGTATGAATAAACTGTCCAAAAGAGACTTATAACAATTATCCTACAAAGTTAAAAATCAAAGGTGTTTTAACCTTGATTTGAAGGTTATTTGTTTGGTTTTTTTTTTTCCTTGTTAGGAATTCAGTGATCTACATGTGGAAGCTCTTGCCGTGTTGGCAAATTGCCTCGAAGATGTGCATACTCTGCAACTGATTCATCAGACAGGAGGCCTTAAAAAGCTACTTTCATTTGTAGGAGTCTCTACTGTTCCAAGTATTCAGAAGAATGCAGCAAAGGCAATTACCAGAGCAGCTTATGACTGTATGTGACTTTTTAAAAATCCATGGACATGAATTTGTTTATGAAGTAAATTTTCATTCAGAATGAGGCCATCTTATCTAGCTGAGGGTACTAATGCTGAGGAAAACACTGGCAAGAATGAATTACAGTGATGAATCTTGCTAATCAGAGCAGCAATTGGATGTTAGGCTCTCTCTCTCTCTCTATATATATATGAAAATGTTAAGATTTTGCATCCAGTTATTTTTAAATGTAATATATTCTTGCAAAATGCTGTCCTCAAAAAGGAAAATGGACGCTGGAAAGATGATCTTTACTGTTTGTTTAGTGATGCCAGGTAACTGGCATTTTAAGCCACCTTTACTGGCGCTATTTCTCATCGCTGTCAGTTAAGACTTAATCTCAAGCTTACATACTTTCGCATACAACTGCTTGTCTAAATGTCAGACAATTTCAAATACAAATTCCTTTAACAGGGGCATGAAAAAAAGCCTTTCAAATGGCTTGCAGATTAATATTCCCAGTGGAGTTAGTTTCTTTGTCATCTTTTGATAATTATTTATCTCTTATAGTTCTTTTTTATACACTTTTCTTAAATTCACCAAGGAATTCTGAATTAGGCAGAACATGCTCATCATTTTTGCCCACAAAAATGCTCTTTAAATAAATCTACATTGGAAATTCCTTCCATACATTAGCTTCTGAGTTGCAACATATGCCTAGTAGTGCTATGTAACAAAATGCAGTGTCAGAAATAACATTGTTCTCTCTATAGATTTTAATTCTGTCAAGGGATTGTGATGACCATAACTATGACAGTAGAGCTTAAATATTTCATTCATACTTCTATCTTGTGGTCAAGTCATGGTTTTAATTTATGTGTATTTTAAAATTATGTTATCTAATTTAATACATGGCTGAAATAATCTCTCCTTTCTACAGTATTTCAGACCTCCTTTCTTCTCTCCCCATCCTATCTTTCCAATTCTTTTCTCACCTTCCTTATTTTGACGTCCTGAATATGTGCAATTATTTGGATTGCAAATGATACATGAAAAGAGTTGAATCCATCATTCCTAGTATTTTGTGGCTTTCTGTATGCTTTTATCATTATCTATTTAAGCTTTGCAAGTTACTGATAATTATTTTCATTAATGTTAAGGTCTCAAAGATAGGAAGGAACCTTCTTTATTTGTATGTTTTCCTGTATTATTTTATTATGCTACTTAAGACTGTCAGTATCATTTTTATAGTCCTGTGACAGGCTTGTAAGTAGTCTGATAAGCAAATTTATATTTGCTCCTACTACTTTCTACTGCATCTTACTCCTTTTTTTATTTATTTTCAAATAAGCGTAGCCTTCTTTTCCTCTTTCACACCTTTTTCAGTTCTTGTGACCTAATATTTTAGCAGCTGTTAGTAGAAGCATGTCTGAACACAACATTTTTAAAGCACGGTGGCAAGAACTACACATAATATATTATAGTACTGCCTATGATCTTATATCATGGGATGTTACCGTCAGTGAAGATGCATCTTCTTGTCATACTTCTTTACAAATGGAGTCAATGTGATTTCATTATAAAGGTTTGCTCACTTCTTCTGCCTCTGACAGTTGGTATGGATGCAGCAAGCTGGGAAAATAGATCAAAAGAAGATTTAAAATATTTGATTCCAAGCTGTAGAATTTTGGTGACAATCAGTTAGACAAAGGGCAATGCATTGTACTGGTGCAGTAGACAAACAGTCCAGTAAACCTGCTGCTCAACATGGCCCCCAGAATTATTGAATCTGTTTCAGATACATAGAGCTACTGGTCTAAAGTCAGCATTCCAGTGGAAAGAGAAGTGGTATTGGGACCATTATAGGAATAGTCCAAGTGCAAAAAGAAAACAGAAATATTTGCAGTTCTTGTTTGTTTGTGTGGATTCTGGTTGTAAATATGCTAAACAGCTTATCCAAACTGCAACACTAATGTATACTATACTAATACTTGTCTTGATGTAAATCAGATATAATACAACACATCTCTGAGTTCTTTTATGACTTTTTCATTAAATTTGCAATAGCTATATAGCCCATATTCTTCAGGTTTGATGATCGTGGTTACAATTTATCAACATTTCCAACATACTTCAGAAAAAAAAATACTGCTTTTCATTGAAATGAAGAACTTACTTTTCTTATGACAGAATATGCATCTATCTGGTTTTGTAATCCTGGCAGCTGAGTATACAGCAGTGTCTGGTTTTGAAATAATTATTGTTGACAGATGGAATTTAGTTTTGGTTTTTTTTCCTGGTAGATGTTATCATATCAAACAGTTTTGGTTTATGTCCCTTTCAGTCCTTTGGAAAGGGACTCCTGAAACTTTTTGTTGTTTTTGTTACAAGAAGGAGATATCCCTTAAGAGTTCAATATCAGAATGAATTACATGGTACAAACACTATATTCAATTTTAAATAGCATCTTTAGGATGCTGCTCTATTTAAGTAAATTAAAATTGATCATATTTGTATACATAATCACTGTCTCTTTGCCCCTGAAAATTTGTTTTGTTCTGTAATGTAATTTTGAATTTAATATATTAATTTATTTTGTACGCTCACAATTACAGTGGTGAATTTTACTGTGATTCCCTCCTTGCTCAGCAAATAATGCAGTCATTTCAGAATGCAAAATATAATTTAATGCTATAAATTATTGAATATCTATGAGTGGATTATCTGGACTGTTGATTAAGGAGGGCCTGACTTTCCCCTGATAATGCCAAACACACCAGCAACAATAAAATGCTATGGAGTGTGTATGGAGAAAATTATGATCATGGTCACTCGAGTTTGGCCTCACTCTGCCAAACTTCTGGTTTAAAGCTGTCTCCATTTGTTACATGTATCTAAATGCAAATCATTTCAAAAGGAAGCATACTAAGTATGCTCTGTAGCCTGATTAACATATGCATACAGGTTTTTATTTATCTGCATTATCTCAACTCAAGATCAGAGGGAGTTCATGATGTTTAACATTACCTTTTTTTCATTTGAATTTGGTATAAATAATTCCATAAGGTGATGACAGTGAGCTGAGTAGATAAAACTCTGATCATGATTTCGGGGTAAGAAGGGGAAATAGGAAAATATACTGTAAAACGGAGGTTGGCTCATGATGAGATCAATGCATGAAAAACTTGACAGAAATGTTAGTACTCTAGACTCTTTTAGATGGGTGTGTCTGAGTATTTTAATTCATGTTAAATCAATGTATTCAAATTAGTTAGGGGTCAAAAAATTCATCACTGTAAATACCGCATTGGCACTGACATGAGAAGTGCTTAAGTACAAAGGATGCTTTTCAGTCATACAGTCTTTTCTATAGTAAAGGAAACAACTCATACAGAGAGAGGATCAGCAGAAAATAATAGAATTGACACCTGGATCTTAAAATATTAATAATTTCCCTCTGACTAGCTAGCTAAATATAGGTACTCTTTACCTTAAGTTCAAATCCAAAATCTGGTTTTGACATTATTAAAAAAATCTTTATTCTGTTTAAAATATTTTATTAATTAACTATTTTCACTTATTCAAATTAGTTATTCATATTATTATTTCATGTATGCATAAATTATCTTAAAATGAAACACCCATCATCATAACTGCCTTTAAAAGCAAGAATCATTTTTAAGAAAATCTGTATAGTAGTAAGTAACTTGCTGTACAAGAACCAAATTATTGAGGCATGAAGAACCTCTAGAGATCATTATTAGGGATTATGGACTACTTTGGCAAGCAACAGGCCAGCGGCATACTTGATAACTTGTCAAAATGGTCTGTAATCCCAATTAAGGCCTTCTCTTGAGAGCTGGCTGATACGCATCGAGGTTGCAGCCAAGGTTCTGCTGAGACTTAAAATCCTCTGTGTTTTATTTGTTGCATCTTTTGCTTTGTGATTTCAACTGCGTATCTCTGATGATTCTAAAAATACTTAAAACTGAGCTAGAGAGGAGAAAATGGCTAACCATCTCATGTATGTGCATTGAGTCATTTCTGCTGTAACTAGATTTTCAGTCAAACTTTCTTTTCATTGGCTTTGTGGACTTCTCTTTGTTTACTTTTTTCACTACAGATTCAGTTTTATTTAAAAGAATACATACAATATTTTTCTTCCTTTTTTAAACTTTTTATTTGCAGGACAACAGTCCAAATAAGGGAATGATCCCTCAAAGTATTAGTAAGCAGTGAAAAAATTTCCAAATGTGTCAAAACCATGCTGACTTCTCAGTTTCTGAATTACTTTGATACATTTGAAAATTTTATCATGTAGATATAACTTCAAGATGTAATTAATTTTCTTTAAATTACGCATACGCTTTAATGTTTGTTGACACTCATGTAGAGCTTCTGGGCTGTCCAGTGTCTCTCTGGCTGAGATTTTCACTCAGGGCTATTTCTAACACCTGCACTTCTGATCTTATCCATTTTGGGATGAGTGAGTTTATTAGTGTAATTGTCAGATGTCTGTAGATACTTTCTTAGACACTGTTGTTACTTGTGTAGAGGAAGGGAACACCTATGTTCTTCCTTAGCTGCTGCCAATCATTGCAGTGTAGGTTAGCTGTGAACCCTCTGTCGCCAGGCTAAAATACAAAATTGAATTTCTCTGCAAAGTGTGCATTAATGAAGAACTGCAAGCTATGCAGTATTTAAAATTCAATTTTTGGCACCCCTTGACTTTTTTTTTTGCTATTGTAGTATGTTAACTGGTACTCCACCAAATTCAATTGTACATTTAAAAATATGTTCTTCCATTTTATGCATTTGGACTTTGTTAGGATAAACCCAAGTTAAGCATGATCCTGCATAAGTATGATCTATTGAATTGGAAAAGCTCTTTTCATCAAGCCTGTATGCATTCTGCGGTTTGAAGCCATAGAGAACAAACTTTGCATTCTGTTGGGCTATGTATGTTTAAAGCTGTGTTAAATAGTCATCTTCTGGGCTTGATTCGGAGTTCACTGAAGTCTCTAATGGGTTTTGGATCATGTCCTTTATGCACATTTCTTAATTGCTGATGCCTCTGTTACCAAAATATTTCCATTTCCATGGTATCAAAAACAAGTGTTATGTTGGAAATAAGTATATGAAATAAGATTCGTGTCCTTTCACTGATTTGGAAAATGAATGCAGATTAATGCTGTTGTTCTTCATTTAAAGCTGAAAATAGAAAAATCTTAAACCAGGAAGAGGTTGAAAAGTGTCTCATAAACCTTTTGGAAATTGATAATGATGGAGTTAAAGTTGCTGCTTCCCAAGCAATTTCTGCCATGTGTGAGAATTTAGCTAGCAAACGTGCATTTGGACTCCAGGGTAAGCAAGGTGGGAAGGGATGAACTGAAAATCTGTACCTGTTATAATTTTGCAAACCGCCATGGTTTATTTAAAAGTTCATGTATACAATTATTTCTTTCAAAGGGATTCCCCAGCTAGTACAGTTGCTAAGCAGTGACAATGAAGAGGTAAAAGAAGCTGCAGTGACAGCATTAGCTAATTTGACAGCAGCCAGTCCTAGTAATGCAAGGTGAGTCTGCAATAATTAAATTATTATTTAAAACACTAATCTGAACACAAGTGATGATAATATTTTGATTTTTAAAGAATGCCTTATCTTGTCCTTATTCTTTAAGGCAGATCTGTTTGAATTTGACTGTAAGGCACTTTTTGGTGCTTGTGAGTCATCTGGAATAGGTTGGTTCTCATCAGTGTTACAAGTTACGCTATCTCTACTAATGTTTGCTTTATCCAGGAAAGGTATGAAGCAGATGTAATGAAAACAGAGATATAAATCATGTTTTGAAGAGAACATATGAGAGAAATATGCCTCATAATCTAAGATATTCAATGTGGGATTATTTTTGAAAATTCAAAATCAGTAAGGTATCCTTTAAAATTTGATGGTTCATGCAAATTTTTTGACTAATTTTAATCTAGTCTTTGAAGGAGATAGCACTCAGCTATTGTGAATATTTGCATTGTCTTTTCCTAACTTTTTTAATTGTTTCCCAAGTAATAGAGAATGCTCATAGTGCATGCTCTAAAAGAAGTATTGCTTCAGTATCCACAAAGATACTGAAGCTATAACAAAGACTGGCTAGCTGACTGTAAGCTGCAAAATAATTGTATCAACTAAATTCTACTGTCAGTTGCAGAGTTCTGTTATCCCAATTCTATTAAAAGTTCTGTTCAGGGAAAAGAAACAGAGCAGTCTGATGTATATGAGCAATCACATGTAACTAACAAACCATAAAATAAAATTCCTTAAAAGTTTCCTGAAATATACTTAAGGAAGTTGTAATCCATTCACAGGCATTCTTTGAAGTGAAAAAGTAAAATAACTCACCAAATAAATTATTTGTTCCAATTTATTGATTCAGCTCTAATAGTCACCAGTATTCACTTAATGTTACCAGATGGAGCCATAATTTGACACAAGAGAATAATACTCTGTTCTCAGATTCACATAGTAGATTTTTTGTCTGATATTCTGCTCTCCTCATGTGCATGACTCTTCAGTTGGTGTCAGTGGGAGTCATACACACATAAAAAGAGCACAGTACTGGAGTCTAGGGGTCAAACTTTCAGCTCCGCTACAGCTGTTTTTCATAGCGCAGCCCTTTGAGGTTTCACATTGTGAAAAGGGAATCTCTGGAGAGTTTTGAGTTGGTATAGCAGCTTATGCCAACACATTCAGTTTTTTTGCCAAGGAGATAGTCAGGACATTATTTAGCTTAACTGCTAGAACAATTCTCCGAGACCACAGGCAGGGAAATAGCTGTCTCTGTTCCTCTGCATTATAATGGAGTCCGTATTTGTTTCTTGCTGGGCAGAGTCAGGAAACTGTAAAGGTGGCTTACGTATACTCTGTCATTGCAATCCAGCTCCAAGTACAATATGGAAGCACCAGATAATCTAATCACAGGTCTTCTGTGAAAATCAGGAAGCAATAATTTACATTAAATATGTATACTGGATGAATGCCATGTGACTGTATAATTACTTCAAAGCTTCATTTCTAAATCAAAACCATTAATAAGTCATAGAAGGGTCCAAGTGTGACTAGGATCTATAAATGAATATATAGAGTTGAACCCTCAGCTGATACAAATTGGTATAGTTCCAGCTCACTGACTGAGTATCTGGCCTATATTTATTTTACATGCACATAATAGGAAAAAAAATTGTTTGGAGAAAATGCATTCCAGATTGAGTTACCATAATCATATTTCATTCTGGAATATTTTGTGTGTGTCTTGTAAACCACTGAAAATAAGTGTATGTATAATGAAGATGCTGAAATACTTCTATAATAATGTGACTTTGCTGTGTGATTATGTTGACAATATTCTGGTCCCAAATGAGAGTAATGAGACTAGTGCCCTTTTATTGGTTATATATTAGATTCTTGTTATAAACCCTTCAAGAATATTAAATCATAAAGCTAGTTGTAGCAGGTAGACCTTATGTGGCAAGAACAAAATGGCTACAGTAAAGGGGAAGACGATTTACTATAAATGTTTTCACTTTTTACAGGCTAGCCAGAAATTCAATCTTGTTGCACTCATACACGTGTTCTGTCATATTTCATTACATGAGCATTTTTGCATGTATTATATTGATTGAAGGATGTGTACCTTGACTTTTCATTTTGTACAGTATATATTACAGGATGTAGAGTAGAAGACTGCTATTTTTGCTGGAGATTTGTTGCTCTTCTTAGGAACATTTGTTCACTAAGCGTTGTCTGCTTTTCATATAATATAGAAAAAAACCCCAAGTTTTTAAAAAAATGTGTAATTGCGGCTACCACAATAGCTAGCTCATAAGGATAAAGTCTTCCATTGATTAATAACACAAGAACAGCATAGGCAATGGGCAATACTACCCCCCACTAATGTATATTAACCTTGACCTTTAGGTGCTTCCCCACAGCAATGAAAGGCTAGTTCTATACCCCTACCCAATCAATCCTTTGTTTCTCAACTGAGACAGCTAATAAAGGTGTCAAATATGGTGGAGGTTTTGTAATTAGAACACCTGTTCATGATGAACGGGATAGAGACCAGCTTGTCATTTTACACAAGTCCCCAAACAACCACAATTTGGCAAAAATAAATAAATAAATAAATTAATGACTCTGGCCCCCATAGTATTTTAACCAAAGATCTAGAGCAGAAGTGAACGTGAGTCCCGTATAAATGGTTTGAGTTTTCACATTTGCTGGAAAACATGGATTTTCAATATGATCTCTACCAGAACACATAAAAATGACTATAAATAACTTCTAAAATATTTCAACATTTAAGTTTTTGCTACAGAGCTGATATGTCATGCTTCAGTAACACATAGAAAAAAGTACAGTGGTCAAATGCCTCATTAGTTTACAGATTGACACCCCCAGATGATGCTTTTATCAGAATCTTATTATAAAGTAATGACAGCATTTTAATGCTGCTATATATTGATATTAGGCTAAATGAAAATGAAATAGCATCGTATTCTGCAGTTTAAAATCCAATGTACTTATTCTAACATGATAAAGAAATTATTTTATTATGTTACTATATGTATAACTCTGAAGCCATCCTTGATATATGTGTCAGAATTTGTTTCTGTTGTCTGCTTCTGGGAAGAAAAAAATTATGTTCAGCTGGCTATTTGCATCCACTTCACATTTTTTAATCCAGAACACCAACTTGCTTTATTGAAAACTGTATACAGTTATTTGGACAGCAGAATGCCATTTTAAAGAATCTATGAAATCTGTCTAATTTTGATGTGTCCAAGCAGTGGGAAATGTAGGCAGTCACCTCAATAATGTACATTATGCACAAATTGAAAAATTGCACACAAACAAAGAAACAGCAGTGCCATCTACTGGACAGAAAAAAAATATTCTGTGCTATACAACTACAGAACAAACGTTTTACTTCAGCCTCTGCCTATTTTTTCGCATTTAAAGTATAATCAATTATTTTTGCTTTTCATGTATTTAGGATAAGCTAATCACGTTAAATATAAGTATGATATTAGTAAGAAGTAACACACAGAAATAAGATCTCAAGTGTACCACTTAGTCAAACATTAATTTGACCAGCTTTTTTCTTCAGTATTGTCGTAGCACAAATGCCATTTCTAATAGCTGTCTTCATAAATCTGGCAGTGTCTGAATTCTGGATACCTAATGGAGTTACCACTAAAGAAAAACATGTGCTCTGAAATTTAGAGCTTTGTACTGGACATGAAAACTAATTAACAGCCTCAATAATATTTGTCTTAAATTGTTTATTTTAAGTGCAAAATTTATAGCATTCAGTTAGTTTGGTCTGGGGCAAGAAGAAAAGGGATCTTTTTTGTTCAGCTGTACTAAAGGCTGCAGGAAATTGTGGTACATGACAGACTTATGATCTGGCAGAATGTTTCTCCTGGGGTTTATAATTAGGGCTATGTTGCATATTTCTAAGTATTATATCTGGATTTGAGATAGTAAAGTAGCATCCCTAAAATTGCAGAGTTATCAAGCTTGATGTTATTTAATTTTCTAATTCTTTAATTCTTCACAGGAATCAGTGGACCTATTTACATTAGCAAAATTATGTCCATATAGGCAGTTACAGGCAGTATCAAAGCATTAGAATGTATGATTTCTCAAATGTATCAAGATTTCCAAGATCTGGGAGTAGATTGGGGATAGGAAGGTAGGTTGAGAACTCATTAGTTATGGGCAGTGCCCAGTGAGGAGAAAGTGAGTTGTTCCCTTGGCTTCAGTGGGTGTTGTGTCTATTTCTAAGTGAAATTCATATACTGATCTAATGACCCAAAATACATTCTCAGTCCATTTCATGTGGATAATGCTCACCTGTAGTAAGAGTCTCTCACCTTCTTAAATGGAAGTTTTCAGTCTCCACAGCAAATTTTTATTGTTTTTAAGACAGGTATGGCTGTCAAGGGATTAATTTAAAGAATGTCCAGTTTTCTTACATTTCAAATTTTGTTATTATCTAAGGAAGTAATGATTATTACCGATATGTAGTGATATCACTAGGCAGTAATCTTCCCTATTAGAAAACGGGAAACTTAATCATAGCGTTTCTCTTTCTGTAGATGGATTCTAATTTGCATAAATGGATCAATATTGAAGTGTCGGTATTACGTTAAGATAATACATTTGCATGAATATATGCATTAATTTATGAGAACAGGAACAAAAATTTCTAGTACATGAGAGCTACACTTAAGAACAGAAATAGGTAATAATACATTGCATAGGTTTGGTCTTTTTTATGGTTTAATAGTTCTTTATAACGTAAGTTTATGTTTCTGAAGAAGGGAATCAACAATAGAATGCCACTAGCTGCATTGTGTAAAGGTAGTGTGTTTTAATACTGACCCCTAGTGACAGAATTGTATTTTTGAGCTACTGTGCTGCAAGGTAAAGGGATTTTGCTGGGTTTTGTCGTTTGTGGTGTTTATTTACAGTGGCACCCATTGTGCTGAGCCCTATGCAAATACAAGCAGTTAACT